GGAGAAGTTGCGTGTGGAGTTTTCGTCCTTCCAAGTAGGTAGTTTCCAAAAAAGAAGGCAGTGGTGTTCAGTAACAGGTCGGCCTGCTCCGGCGCTGAAGTTGGGGGCTTTGGGCAGGATTCACCCGACCGGATCACCTGAGCAAGCTTAGCTTGAGGCAGGTTGGGGAGGGTGTCCCACTCCAATCCAACAGGTGGACACTTCAGCTGACCTTGTTTTTTTCCAGGAAAACTAAGGTAGTGAGAAAACAGGCAAGAGATGAGTTTGGTCATAGCGCTCATACCACCCCCTGTTTGAGTCACTGTCAACTCGCCGACAGATCTCTGGACTCCAGACTTCTACACGAGGTATTCATGGATACTCGTGGGGACTTTGTTTCGACACCTCCTTGGACAGCCAGGATGTGTATAATCTATTTGTCCAAGCACCAGTTCAGCTCCAAGATGTACCAAATATGTGTTTTACTGCGGGAAGACACTCACTCCCAAAGGCACCGGTTTGGGAATGTGTGAAAGGGAATGGTCCAAGGATCGTGCGAGTTCCGATTTCCTGCCTGTGGGATCGAACCCATGTCCAATTGCTCACATGGAACCCTTCTCCACTTCAGTCTTCAAAGTTCTCATTTGAATATTTGCTACTACCACCAAGATCTGCACCAGAGGCTGATTCGCTCAGGTCATGGCCCACAAATACCCGCGGGCACCGAAATGGTTCAACAGATTCCTCAACGTTCGGAACGGCAACCTTACATGGTTTGGAAGAGGTGGCTGAAGTCACAGCCATTTGATTTGCGGATGAGCAGTCCTTTGGACCTGAGCTACACCCCCTGTTTGTGAAGTGAAGGTGCTTTGTGCATGGAGAGGGGGCCCAAACTGCCTTTTCATTCGAATTTAGGTCCAGAAAGCTCCCTGGATGTGCAGTGGCACCTTGGATGTTTGACATCGCCATGGAACGACTGAACTCTTACTGTATACTACGCCGATCCAATGTGTTGAGCCCGAATATCGCTAAACACTCTCCGATGCACACGACCTCGTGCCACCCCCAGGGGGGGGGGGCGTGGACCACCCCTGTGTACTGTGTGCAGGACAGTCGTCTTCCTGTGTCTTCACCGTGCCACCCGAGTCTTTTCGTCACGAACAACTGAACCGAACCGACAGGGGCCACGTGGCGGGCCATTCAACTGCCTTTGGTTTGACCGCTAGGAAAGCTGGCATGGAAGGTCAGGTGCTTGAGGTGCCAGTCCCGCATGCGGATGTATGCGGATTCGGCAGTGATCTTTGATCATCTGTGCACGGTGAACTAAGTATGATCCTTCAAATGGTGCCAGGATCTTCTTCAAGATCTGGTCCGAGAGCAACCAGGCCGAGCTCTGGCTGAACGGGGTATGGCATTTCACCGCAGCAGTATAGCAGGGTACATCTGGTTTCACGGCTCTTTGGATGGACCTTCCGAGTGGCACATGCCGAACCAGGGGACTTGCATGGACTTAATATAGGTGTGCAGAGAAACTGGTCTCCCAGAAGTCACATGATCGGGGTGGTTTCTATAGTCCCAGAACCTAGTACTATGTGATGTGACACCCCGCCGTCGACATGCTCCTCCGAACGACTGGTCACTGCCTTTCTTTCGTCCGAACGACTGGTCACTGCCGGTCCCCTTTTTTTTCGGATCCTGCTTCTCACATCGATTTGAAGGTGTCATGGCGAGTCAAATCGACTGGGCGAGCAGGTGGGTCAAATGGATAGAACGACTACACTAGTGGCCGGGATCAAACACCCGGCGAACGTAGACGAGGAACAGCGAACAGCGTCTTCTGTCTTCTGCCGTGCCATCCACTTCCATGGGATGATATGTGATGTGTTGGTCGTGGGTACCACACCTTTTGGGGCGAAGCTTTTGAAGGGAGTCGCCCGTGTGCTTCATTGTCGCGTGTGGCGACCATGCGATTCTGCATGCGTTGGACCTTGGCACCGTCGAACATTCGCATGCGTGGGTTTTTTTCACCACTTGGACTGGATTGCGCGAGGGATTCGTATATTGGCAATTGAGCATGGCAAGCGAAACCATAAGATATCATAACTGGATGAATCCATGAATCGACGCCACTGAAGCCAGCGGAAGTTCGCGATGTGTGTACTTCGAACCGCCTGCGATTGGTGGATTGGCCAGACTCTCCTTGGAGTTTCATTGCAAAGAGAGCAGAGTCGGGGTGCCCCAGAGGGTTTTTGGATGGCACTGGGTGGCTGGGCCTGGAAGGGCCGTGGCTCCAAAACCAGTACAAGTAGTAGGACAAGTATATATTGTATTGGCTGTATTGGTGAATGTTTGAGGTCTGACCCGCTCGCTGGGGCTTGAAGAGGTTTTGCAATCCATGTTTTGGGGGGTTAATAATCAAGAGTCTACATGGCCCAAAAATACATAGTTGTAAAGCCTTTTTTGGGGCTCATTTTGAGTGGTCAACCTAGGGGGGCTAGGGCCAGGGCTTCAACATAGGCCCTCCCAATAAACCCATGTGCTGGTAAAGAATTCAGAAGCCCCAAGGAGATGGAAGCCCCACGCCCTGGAATCCTCATGGGCCAACGTGGATGGCAAGGGTTCCGAAAGGACCATTAAATCCGAACACCAAACCGGTGGTTTTCACTCCACGTTGGCCCATGGAACATCCCACGGAACTCCGCCCGCGTACCGGGCGGAACCGGAAGTCCACCCGAACTCCGAATCCATATAATGGTTTTGGTGTTTTGGGGTGTTCGGAAGACTCGTGTTCATCCGAACTCGGGGGCCCATTCACTTCCGTGAGACATCCTGGAAGAGACATAGAAGCTGAAAACAACAGTTGTAGAAGAACATAGTCTTCCAAAGGTCCATGCCATCAGGTTCCATGTTAATCTTCCCGGTGTAAGTCCAGTCCAGGGAGTCAGTTCGAAGCCGGGGAGATGCTTCGAACGGTCGCGGGTGGTGGTGGGGTCTATTCCTGGAGCGCCTGGTGGGGTGGGGTGCTTACAAAAAAGGTCTCCCTACGAAAGGATGATCACCTGCCCAACCTTGCCCTGGGGAAGCCCTTGGTTTCCCCACTCAACCAGTTTTTGTTGGGTTTCATGTCTTTTTTCACAGGGACCCTAGGCCTCCAGTCGTACCTTCTGACAAGGTGGGACATACCCGGGGTGGGTGCCATGTCCGGGTCCAGTCATACCGAACCTGAGGAGCTACTGGAGGTGTAGGGGGAATGCCCGGCTCGCAGAGGGTTCTTTTTCCAGCTGGTTGGGGTGAGGGGAGTGGGCAGGAGTTCAAGCACCCACCATGGGAGTTTGAGTAGAGACGCTGTGGGTTCAGAGTTTGTTTGATCACCGGGTGAGGGGCTTCTTTGATATCATCCGTCACAGGGGCTAATGGGGCAACCGGTCAAAGGAAAGCCCTGTTGCCACGGTGGATTTCATGTTGGCTTTTTGTGCAGAAGAACTTCTCCAATTTTTACGTACACGACGACCACGTGTAGAGCATTAGCTTGAGTGCACATGGCACATCATAGCATGTTTGCTAAGTTCAGGTGAGTCATACACTTCCACATCTTGAACGGCGTGTACCATGCCGTTCTTTTCAGGTGTGACTAAGTCACCAGTACTGAGGAACCGTTTTGGGACCAATCGACGAGGATTGTGGGGCTCCCGAGGTTCGGGGGCAATGGCGCCTGTACCATGTAGGGTTCTCTAATAACCTCCAGTCGTACCTCCTCAGGTATGACTGGACCCTCCTGGCACCCACCCCAGTGTCACCTTCTCCGAAGGTACGACTGGAGGCCTAGGGTACTAGCTCCTTGGAGGTTAAGGGGTCTCCATTCACCCCCCCGGCCCTAGTAGGCCCTAGTGCTTTACAATTTTTGCGTGTTTCTTCCTCCATGTGTTTTCCACTCATATCCACTCTCCCTGTTCAGGAAGCGGTCGGAGGTGCAGCGAACGCACGTTTGGCGGGGTCCGGGGGGAAGGACCTTCGAAGATCGATCGAACGCGGGCATCCGGGAGTCGAAAGCTTTATGCCGACATCGTCCCAAGCACCCAGGCCGTCATAACGGCCGTTCCTTTCGATGGAAAAACCACGGCAACCATCACTGACCCGGGTTTTGGTTGCCAGAGGCTCGTAGACCCTCATGTGGAGGACCCCCATGAGGTCTTGAGTCTTGGATCTTGAGGGGCCACTCTAGGGACTGTGAATCGACCGCCCAACATTCCCAAGACCCCCAGACATCTCCAGACATATGATTTCTTCCTCCTAAGAGTCTTCCGCACCGTGCATCCGGAAGCCTCTGAACCGGCGAATTCCCTTCAGCACAGCTACATCCAACCTGATTGAGCAATTTCTCAGCAGGGGTCCAAGAGGAATTCCCAGTTGAACTCTGTGGCCGTTTCAATCCAGGGGTCTTACCTTGGTTTTGTGGCCAACACCACGAGTCTCCAGGAGGACATGCACGTGAACATGTTTGTGTCAACGGCACCCACTTCTCCTATCCGCTGCAGTTCAGACTTGTCGGAGAGGACCTATGAATACCTATGACACATTCTGCAGAAGACATGTGTCACATGGAGCCCCATTCATGTTTCATAATTTTTCCATATTCTCCTTTGACATGCAAGACACACTTGCAGCCAGCAGGGGTTGTTCAACCACCCATTCTTTTGAGTGCTGTAGAAATTCATGGGATGTTGTACATACATACTTAGTTACTTCTATTTGTGCACTCTACTACGTAGAGAACAACATCTCACGTCCTGAAACCCACACTTTTTTGAGGCGTGGAGGTTCTTGAAGGCCTGAAAGGTGAAGACAGATTCACTCAGATTTTCTGGGGCCCGCCGGGGCTTGCCCTCAACACACGCCATGCCCTGTCTAAGGGGCTATGATTTTAGACATACCCCAAAGGATCCCAAAGGATTTGGGGGGTCTGGTAGATTTTGGCACCACATGCGGTTGGAGACAACCACCATCTTCCAAGATCTTCTGCGATGGCCATGCCATGGTCGTCGCAGCCAGTGGTCATACCTACTGCGCACAGTGCAATATGGGCGGCACAGTTGTGGCCGCCCCAGAAGCTTTGCGCGTCTTCAGGCGCAGAACAGAGTTGAATCTGAGGTGATTAAAACATAGTACTTCAATGTACTTCATTGAATTTAATGATGACACGGCTGGTGTAAGTTCACAGAAACGCGGGCCTCTACAGGCAAGGACAAGCTGCTTTGATGGGGACGTACTCAGACATGCATGTGATGGACGATCTTCTTGGCCCTGGTCCAGCACCACGGAGTTTGGATCGTTTAGAGACACCCCTGGCCCCACGATGTTTCCCTCCAACCACCCGAACCTCCGGTGATGGCCGTGGTAGGCCCCTCGGATGGGGTGAGAGGAGTGAACACCGATCCGCTCGGCTTCTACGAGCCCGTTTGGGGGCGAGTTGGCAGGCCAGCGGACGACTTGGACGCCTGGGTGCTCGGAGCGGGAACGGACGGGACCCCGTTGGTGGAGTCGAAAGGAACTGGAAGGCTGCATCGATCTACTGGTATGAGGTATGTGGCCTGGGGGCCATGGCACCCGGGAGGACCGTCGGGAGGATCAGATGAAGAGAATAGATGACCGGCTCGGAGGATCAACCTACCAGGAATGAGGGCTCCGGTTTTGACCCACAGCCACATCGAAATCTCTTGAAGTTTCAGTGGTAATCGTCCTTGGCGGTCCAGCCGCACAGCCGCACAGCATTTCGTAAAGCCAAGCCTGACAAGTCTCAATAAAGTCTCAATCATGCTTTTGAAAGAGAAACCAAGAAAGAGGGATCATATCATCCCTTTTTTTGTCGGGCTCCACAAGTGCATATTAATAAGCCATACAAAACTGTACGTTTAAAACCAACTCACGGGGTTGGAGGGAGTTCCTAAACTCCAGAGGTTGTTGATAAGGTTGGAGGCTTTCCAGTGGTTTCCAATTCACACCCCGTCACCCCTTTGCTTCGTGTTTGGCGCGACAACGACAGCAACGTCCCCACCTTGAAGACACGAAGATGCCTCGCTTGGACATGTTGAACCATGGTCACAGGTTTTGGGGCGTGAGGAGTTGTTTTGGTGGCAAAAGAACGGTGAAAACACATGAAAACACCACGGTATCTGGGGCAACCTACATCCAAGTTGTTGAAATTGAAGCAATACTGTCTATCACGGAATCTCCGGGTGATTGGAGGGAACAACTATAGTATATATATATATATATACAACCATGGACTTTCAAAGGAACGTGAGTGATTTTCACCACACAAGTTCCTCAGTGGTTTCGCTGTCGGTTTTGCTTCGTGGTGAGCAGCAATGGGCCCAGGACTTGGAGAAGTACCCGGGGTAAGGCAGCTCGGCTTCTCACCACAAAGTGGGGGAGTGGCTCAAATCAAGGGTCTGGGGATGTCTGGGGTGAACATGGACGGAAGGAGGCTTGAGGTTTGCCCCCTTCATTGTGATGGACATATGAACTCCTACTGTATAGGTCCTATAGGTATCCCTAGAGACCTGAAATCCAGTCTGAAATCCCTGAACTTGTGGAATCTAGACACAACCGTTTGATTCTTAATATTTTCTGTTTGATTCGCCAGCATACAAATTAAGATTTGACTATAGGTACATGTCAGAGTCTTCTTGCCTGAACATGAGTTCAGTAGTAGTCAAATACGTTTGGGATAGTTTGGGTACCCTGGGTGATTCCCTCAGAACGCCGGTCGTTCTGTTTGATGCAGCTCGATGCGACGCTTCCTTCGGCTGTTCGTCCACCGTTCCAACCGCTCCCGCACCCGACCGAGAGGTGGAACCCACACACCTGCGCCACCTGCGCCACGCCGCCGGTCCGGCCGCGGCGGATCCCAGGTGGCCCTGAAAGCCCAAAACCTCCGGCGAGGCTTCAAGGCCGACCGGGGATGTCGTGGACGCGGCGTGGCGCGGCGTGGCGCGAGGAGTGGCGCGAGGAGTGTCGCGACGTGGGTCGGAGTTCCGCGCGGCTCCCGGTGTTGCAGCCTTCCAAAAGTGTTTCTATAATTTTCTATAGCCTATAATTGGACTGGGCGCTGTTCCATCCCACAATGACAGAGCTCCAGTGTCAGCCATATCCACACCCGCAAGCCCTGGATGACCAGGAAACATGACAAACAGAAGAGGAAAAAACCTACTCGTGAGCAGTGAGCAGACACAACCTATGATTTCTCAGGTTTTGACCCACAGATACCCATGTGGAAAAGCCGTACTCCGACTCGCAGACGAACCGCGTTCAAAACCCATGGATTGGTTCCACCCCAGACCTACCCCTCCGAATGAAGGCCCAGACCTCGCGTCTGGGCAGGTGAACAAGGAGTACAAAGGCTCCCACTCCTACGGCACCATCAGCCAGGAGGCCCGGAGCGTAGGAGGCCCGGAGCGTAGGATCGATTCCACCGCGTTGAACCAACGGATGGGGTTTTTGGCGTGTTTACACGTCGCGTGTACCGGGACACGGCGTCTCACGGCGTGTACCGGGCGCGAGGCCAAAACAGAACCACATTAGAAGGTCCCTGTGAGGACGTGCATGTGGCATGTGTTTTTGTGGCGCTTTTGGATGTTGGATTCACAGTTGTGTTTGTCTGATTGGTAACAAACTGTTTTTGGTTGGTGTAGTTGGCCCGTAGGACAATGCACCATGAACACCTCAACTCAATCCTGGCGCAATCGCGTCCAAGAAGCCAGAATCGTGGCAGCCCGCAGAACTAGAGGAACGTCAGCACGAGAACGAGGCCACAAAAACCTTCGGAGTAAAGTATCTGAAGGAGGAGGTAGACCGAGACCCGCAACTGGGCATTCCCAAAGTGCGTGGTTCCAAAAGGGTGTAGCAACCCCACATGGACAGTTCACTCGAAGTGGGAAAGTAGACGACCGGGAGCGGGTAGCATGTGAAACCGCGCCTCCAACCATGGCATTCATCAAAACAGTGCTGGACTGAGCCAACCGACGGACCAACTTGAGTCGACCTTCATCATAGTCAGGAATCTCCTGGTCACGAAGTTCATGTCTTGTTTGCTGCCCTAAAAGGGAATAGAAATGCCGACGCCAACTTTCACGGAGGCAATGGCCCACACGAGGCCAAAAAGTAAGGACATCGTTAAAGGTAAAACCCAAAGGACAACAATGATGCACAAATTTGCCACCACAAAATCTCCAGCCGAAATATGCCAAAGAAGAGCGCACCCGAGCACAGAAACGGAGGTCCCAATCCAACCCAAAACGAGGCTTTGCTAGTTCAACACGGGCCATAAGTTTGACCTGCCGCCAAAGGACAATTGCACGCAGATTGCAGTAAGGACCCAGGAGAATCTCACGCAATGCAGGATTAGCAATGTAATGGATTCCAGAAAAACGTTTGACCAACTTGTTGAAGAAGTCAACTTCCTTCTTGGATGGATCAGTAGTAATCCAGCCATAAGCAACAGCACCTCCGGTGAAGATCCGAATGTCTGCCAGTTTACCCGGCAAGGGGAAAGGGAGCAAAGCAATCCGACGAATGACTCGTTCAGCAGCTGCCAAGCGCTTGCCATGAACTTCATCAATTGAAGAGCACAAATCTCCCACACGACAACCAAGAACCTCCATGCAAGAAGACGCTTCCGGAAGTGAAGGCGAAAACGTAGAAAGAGAACACCATTGCGTTTTGGTAGGGTGCTCAATCAAGTGCAGCCACGTGGAAAAACGCTCCCACGCGTCTCGAGCAGCAAGCACCGCGTCTGCCGATCCAATCAGCGTCCGATCGTCCATATATAGAAACTGCTGAACCAACATGCCAGAAGGCAAAGAATGTCCAACTTTGCCAGCGACGAGCCAAAGAAAGATAGTGAGAATCAAAGGGCTGCACGGGTCGCCCTGAGGAATACCCCGGTGAAGAGTAGGAGCTCGTGAAGCCACGTTCCTATAAAATTCAAGCCACCGACGTTGACCTTTCCACTGCGCAAACAAAGTGGAGATCATTTGGTGCAGACAAGGCGGCAGAACCGCCAACATCAAAAGTTCCATCAACCGCAGGTCCAGCGTGTCAAAGGCATGACTATAGTCCAAGGCACAACCGTGCCCATAAACCCTTAACGAAGCATCAATGATCACTGCCATGTCTTCAGGGCCAAGAGAGCCAGGAATACCAGCATGCGTGGGAGGAATGTTCTGCTTGCACCAGTGAGCCAAAGGATCGCAGTGAAGCCAAGTCTTGCTCCAGGCACGGAACCAAATGGACTCAATGCTGATTGGCCGGAGAGAGCCAGGGCCACATTCATTGTTTACCACTTTGGAAGGTTTGGGAATCATGGCCACTTTCACCTCAAGGAGTGAATCAGGCACCTGTGCATAGAGTTCCCATGAAGCCATGCAATGCCAAACTTCTTCAAGGCAAGCTTTGGGAAGGCAACGCGCCTCAAAACTTTCCCAACCATCAGGGCCGCCAACACCCCGAGTGCGGCGCAAAGCTTGGTAAAATGCATCAAAGCCAGGACGGCCAAAGGAAGCACCCGAACAATCAGAACGACGCGCCAACGCATTTTCCAACAAAGAGTCGCGGATGGAGCATCGTTCATCTTCCGACCAAGGGCAATGCTGCCAGATCTCTGACCAGTAGTCCAAAATCAGATCACAAGCGTGTGGAAGGTTCTTGCCAACTTCTTTAGTACACACAGATGTGCCATGTGCATGCCGCGTGTGAGCAATGTTGGGGCGATTGCAGCCAGAGCGTTTAAGCCACTTAGCTCGCTGAGGCAGAGAGCGAATACGTTCCTTCCATTGCCGAAAGTTTGCACTCCTTTGAAAATTAGCCACCTCTTGGAGTTTCCGCTCAACAGAGTCCAAAAATTCGCGAAGACGATTTGGAAGTTCAGGGCTGAAGTCTGCAGTGCGCAAAGTCTTCCAGAGCAACTGCTTAGAAACATCGTCAAAAAGTCCACGGTTAAGTCGACGAGTCAGTTCTTCAGCGCGACCTTTGGCGCGACGCAGCTTTTTCTCTTTGATACCACAGTCAGAGGGTCTCGATGGAGCAGGGGACTGGCGAAAGGACATGGAAAGCCCCTTTCCCATCCGAAGATTGCACAACTTTTCAACACGACCAATTTCAGTCCAATCCACAAAGGACAGGGGAACAACCAACAAAGCGTCCAAAAAGGCTCTCTTGTAGGTCCAACAAATTTTGGCCATGATGAAAGCCCATTCATAGTCCACAAAATTTTCCGAGTCCAAGGACACCTGCCACTGTTCTGAGCTTTCAACCCAATGCAAGGCCTCCGACCACCCAGAACACGATCCATCGTTCCAAGCCGTGTCGAGCATGGAGGCCCATCGATCAGCAAAGATCCAGGAGGGCCTGTGAAAAACAGGGACATTCGAGATCTGCCTCAACGGATCAGTAGGAGGTCGCTCATGCAGAGTAACTGTACAAATTTTGTGATCACTCAAAAAGAAGGGCAAAAAGACTTGCTCTCCGAGGTCAACGTTGGACCAAAAGTAGTCAATGACTGAATCACCATTCCAACGGGAGCTGGAATTGGTAGCCACTTGAACGGGATGAGCACCTCGAAGAAAGGTCACTGTACAAAGAAGAGGATGTTCAGGTATCGTATTGAAGTCACCACCCCACAACCAGGTCTTACCCCAGTTGATCTTGGAAAAGGCTTCATGCGCAAAGCTACAAAAAGTGTCAATGCAGTCTGCGTCCGGCTGTACGTAGCTGTTCACCACTAAGATATCCCCCACAGAGGTGAACTGCATCTGAAAGTGAGAAGAAGAAAAAGAATCAACAGACCGGGCAGGAAGGACCTCACGCACCAAAGTGATCAACCCACCTTTTTCCACAGCGTGTTGATGACCCCGAACACTTTTGTTGTACTCATAGCCACATGTGAGCCAGCCAGTGTACCCCAAAGGCCTGAGCTGCGCTTGAACCACAGGCCAGTTGACCAGCGATGTAGCCACTTCCTGAATCAAAATGATGTCAGGATTGCTAGAATTAGATTGCAACAGTCGCACCAGACGCCAAAGACCTTCGTAACCCCCCACATTGATGGTCCAACAAGTCAAGGAGCAACCAATTTGACAACCGCCACGGAGATCAAGGCCACAAGATGCACCAACAGCAGAGCAGCGCAACTGAGCAGGGGCCGACGCGGAGTAACAGCGGTCAGACTGACATGTCCCCACGTCGGCCCCCGCGCTGTTGACTGCGGGTAGTCAACAACTCTTCTTACCTTTTCTGCCAGAAGGCCTCTGCTTGGTAGGCTTCACCGAAAGGATGGCCTTGAGCAAGTACTGCTTCTCTTTCTTGGACACCTCGAGAGTGCGGGCGGCCAACTCAAACGCCTTGTCACGCTTCATGGCTGCCCACCAAATCAGCCATGGGCGAGCCTTGATCAGGATGATCAACCTTGTATTCAGGCCATGAATACTTCGCGCACTTGAATTTGAGCAAATCTTTCTGGCATCGATTGGTCAACACTAGTCGACATTTGCTGCAGACCGTCATCAAACGAAGCTTGCACTTGTAGCCTGACTTGGGGTAGCGAAAAGAGACAGGGTGGTGGCCAGCACTCTGAAAACGCTGCCGGGCTTTGTCATGGCGGGACCTGTAAGCCTCCGTGAGCTTTCCCTTTCGATCAAAAGGCCGCTTCCACACCTCAGGAAACCGCTTAATGAAAGCACGGTGAGCATCTTTCAAGGAAGTCCCGGGAGAACAGGAAGCGAGGTGAGCCTTCTTGCTACGCAATGCAAGCGACTTGAGGCCAACGATTCCAATTCCTAAACCACAATGGGGGCAAAGCCAAGCTGCCTCCTGCGGGTCCATCTTCTGAAAGGGAATGGCTTTGGTCAAAGAACGCAAACCAAGGCCAGCTTTCCGACCAGTGAAGCCATTCGCAAGCTGTTCCTGCTTGTTTGCCTCCCATTCAAACTGGTGACAAAGCCGCAAATGAGCGTAGATCTTCTTAGCGGCCGGAATCTTCTCGAGGTTGGAGAGCTCAAAGGGGCAAAAAGGGCAAGACCAAACAGGCTTCTGCTTTTTGACCTTGAGCACAGACTTGATCACCTTAGTTGAAGAACTTGCCTCGGATGCAAGGGGACCCGATCCAACAGAGGAACAAGTCTTCATTAGCGAGCCACACTGCTTTGAAGGCCGCAAAGAGCTGCAAGTACGAAACAGGTCATCAACCACGTGTAACTTGGCTGCGGGAGTGCACAAAAGGTCCAAGCCACCTGCACGGCACACGCTCTGCGATTTCATAGCACCAACCAAACTGTTGAGGTGAAATTCACCGTGTGGGGATGACCACTCCTTGGGCCAACCGCTCTTAGGCCGGGAAATAGCCAGGTAATGACCGTCTCCTCGAGCAACAGGAATCGTGGGCCACTTTTTCAACTTGCTTTCATCACCAACAACCAAGGCTGTTCGTGTCCAAGAACCCTCACGCATCTCAAAGATGGCCACATTGATGCGCTGCGCAGCAGCCAAAGCTTGGAGCCCCAAGCCGCAAATCCAACGCTTCTCACGCTGCAACACCGAAAGGAACTCTTGCAAGGTCTTAGCAGGAGGACCAGCTTCAGTCGTGTGGTTGACAAAGCCGGCCTCTTCAGGGGTCCAACAAGCTTGCCAGGAAGTGTCATCATTGAGAAGTCGATTCATGGCCTTAGACCGCAGAGAAACAGCCATTGCCGGAACCAACTTGCGAAGCTCATTAAGTTCAATCGGCTTGGTGCCTGCATTGTGAAGCATGATCCCAAAAGCCAGACAGCGCCAGGCGCAATCTCCATCGCCGCCAAGGTCGATCAGGGTGGTAGAGACAGGGCCAGGACCACAAAGACCACCAGTGAGCTTACCCGAGCTGAGACCACCAAAAACGGTCTTCAAGGACTTCTTGCCAGGTGAAGAGGAAGCAGGAGGCTCATCAGGCTTCCCACGCTTCTTTTCTCCTTTATCTTCTTCAAATTCACTTGATCCTTGTTTGAGCTTCTGAGTCGATGCCTCATCCAACATCATGGGCGACAGAGACTCGGGAGTCTCAATGGGGTCATCTGGGAGGAACCATTTGGGCCCTTCAATGCGAGCAGGCTCAGCCGTAAGCACACGGCGCTTTTGCCAACGTCGAAGGGTGATGTTGAAACAGCGCTCGTCAGTTTTGACGTCATAGATCAAGTCATCCATGCCACATTCTTTGAAGTTCTCAGGGTATCCTTGAACAGCCCAATGACCGTTCTTCCGACGAGGGGGAAGAGGACGAGATTCAACGTGCCAACCTTGTTGTACAAGCCAAGATTCCAAAGTCGACGGGCCCCAAGAAAAGGGCACATTGCAAGCCACCCATGCCTTGTTCCGGATCTCTTCATCGACAACATCAAGCACACCTAAACAGGCGCCGCCACCATGGCGGAAAGCAAGAGGGTGATTGTCAACGTCAGCCAGCTGCTTCACGCGAGTCCAGTACTTCAAAGGGTCTTCATTCAACTCAGGTTTGTACCATTTGACCGGGCGGTGAACGACCGAATCTTTGGCCAAAGGCTGCACAAAAACACCGTTGACACCGCTAGAGCCGAGGAAGCTGGCAACCAACTTGGATGGCACTCGCACATAGCCAGTCAAAATGCCATCCTGATGCGACCATGAGTTGGTCTTGAGCTCTTTCTCTTTCCGATTGAGTAGTCGCAGGCATTTCTGTGGCGCTTCAAGTAGCAAATCGAAAAGCCGCTTCTGCATGAACTGCTGCACTGCCAAAATCCGCAAGGAAACCGTGTCGACCAAATGCAAGCCAGCATCAGGCAGGTCTTTGGCAATCTTAGTCTTCATTGGTCGAAACTTGGGCTCCAAATTGCAAAGGCTGGCAACTCGAGCATCAGCAAGCATCAAATTCCCAGCCAAAGGGAGCTTCTCCGAACGACAAAAGTCAAACTTCAAGGTCTCATCCTCAACTTTGCAGACCAGCAGCAAGTTACACTGGATCTTGTGGGCCTGTGCAAGGCTTCGGAGCTCATTGATCTGGCACTCTCGAAGGATACAAATGCAACCTTTTGGGGACTGACCAACTTCCAAGCTGTGCAGGAGGGACTTGTAACTCACGAAGTCGCGGTCAGGGAAGCGCTTGGAGAGGTCAAAGCGCGGAAGCACAAACTCATCATCCTTTTTAGGTGGGATCAAGCCGGCCTTCTTTTTCTGCAACCACTCAGCGTAAAAAGAGCGTCCAGCCTTCTGAGCAGGTTGTTGGCCAGGAGGCTGAAGAGAAGGAGAGGCCCCTTCAGCATCCCGAACCAACTGCTTGAGCGAAGACAAAAGTTCATCTGGGCGCATCTTGCTAGATCTTGCTTTGGTGACCAGGTTCTCCAACTGGGCGACCAGGTCATCGTCTTTGGCGCTATGAGAATCTGCATCAAGAAGTTCCTTCAATACCGACAGAATGCTAGTAGACCTGCGTTTTCGATCAGTGGCATTGGAATGAGGGAATCGATCCGGCATCTCTGGTCTCAGGTCCCGGGTTCTTTTCGCATCGCCTCTTCTTCCGGTCGCGCTTGGGACCGGAGAGTGTGCGCATTGTGCACGCGCTGGGTGGGGGTGTTTCAGAGATGGGTGCGTGTGGCGTGTGCTTTTAAAATAGAGAGACACCCCTAACCAATGGGGTTTGGGTAGTGGTTGTGGTCTATTTCCATTCTTGCAAGAGGCCTTTGGGAGGTCTCCCTATTTCAATCATTACCATGAATTACCAATATTTCTATGTTCAACCATGTTCAACCCTTACTTGGGATCTGATTGAACCCGGTGCCATGGATGCATATTTTGCGTTCGTGAGTTGAAACCACCAACCGGGGAGGTGTGGCCGGTTGGAACATGTTCTTGTTCTTGAAGCCCATAGACCCATAGACACACACACACATATATATATATATATAATATATATACCAGGGGTCACCAAGGGGTGGTTAATGGACACAGCTTAACCTCCAAGGAGCTATAATTCACCAATCCTCTACAGTAGTTGCTTTCAACCTGGGACCAGGAGATGGAGGAAGCCGCGCGCATTCGGAGCCGCTACGATGAAGACTTTGCCTCGGTCAAGAAGGTGATCTGAAAACTGCGCAGCAGAAGGGGGTCGGTATGGCACTGGCAGATGTACGTATTATATAGACAGGGTGGTGGAATCTTTGGAATTGCAGGTCTCGATTCTCTCTACACGAGATGCTGATGCAGCTGATGCATTTGTTGAAGTGTCAAACATCATAATACCTTCGCATACCGGTGATGCCATCAGCGTTGTTGTGGTTGCTGTTGCCTTGGTTGTTGCTGCTGTAATTGTAGAGGTGGTTGTGGTGGTGGTGGTGGTGGTGGTCGTCACGTCGTCGTTGTGGTCGCGCCACCAAAGCGCGGCCAAAGACGCTATATTTTAGCGCGCCCAGTGCGCGCAAATACAATTGCAATGGTGGCAAATTTGTGTTTGAACATCGGGCAAACCCAAAACAACTCTGTATTGACGCATTGTTCTGTGCTGTAGGAGCCACACACACCATGCTGTTTTCCATTGTTCGTTGGTGTTCATTGTTTTCACATTGGCTCAACCATCAAAGCAACACTGAACTCACTGAACATCCTGAACCTTCTTTTTACGACGTTCTTTTTTGCATTCCGAACAACCGGTACGCAGTTGTGAGCAACCGGGTGACTCGTAATGATCCAGCAATCATTCATCCTTCAAACCTCATCACACTCGGGGAGCTTTTTCAGACAGCAGACCAAGGGGTTAGGGTAGGCATCACTTCTTACATTGGTGGCAAGTCGCAGGAACGCAGGGCATCTTTGTTGAATACTGTTCGAGATCACAACTGATTTTCCTGAGCCCAGGAAAAACACGTTGGGTTTATATATAAAGTAGTATTTATATATGTATAGATATATGGATCTTAAGGATTGTCGATTGACCGTCAACGCAAAGGGATGACTTGAGCACCCTGACGGGGTCAAGACCGTTGGCGCACGTTGGCCGAGCGCACTGGACGATCGCGATGAGAGCGCATGCCGCGCAGTCTGACCGTCCCAGACCGGGCCCGAACAAATCCAACAGAGGTGGGTCAGGAGGTTCTTCCAGCACCGAAACCAACAGGTCTCCGACATGGGGCGACCTTGTAGACTTCAGGGCGTCGCAGATGGGGACCTGTGAAGTCAGGTCCTGGTAGTTCGACTATCCCAGTTGGGTACCCCAGGATGAGGGTCCTATTTACGGTCACTTAACCTCTGTTGGATTCCGCTTTGCTCATTCGCTTTGCTCATTCTTTGCAAAAACCAGGCAGAGGCCAAGAAGTCCAAGGCCCGGAAGAGGCTCGGCCAACGAGGGCGGTTGGAGACTGGAGGGGTTCATCCCGGTGGCACCCCCGTCATGACCCGCAAAATGAGATGCCAGTTGGACAAACATGGACATACACAATCTCATGCACACACACACACAAGAAAACAATACTTAATAGCATTCTGATGCATTCTGGGTGGAACTTGAATTTTGGATTGAGAACGAAAACAGGTGGTTTGGTATGAAGCATGAACAACCACACTTGTGGCTTACAGTGTTCTTCAAGGATCTTGAACAAACATCTTGAAACCGTTGAAACCCAACTGACCAAGACGAATCAGATGGTCAACAGAACCAAGCGCTAGTTGAAGTGTTTCGGTTGAACGTGGGTGTTGTCCACAGGTGGGTGTTCTTCCGCCATGTTCTGTGAGGCAACGCGGCGGCGGCGGTTCAGGCAACGCGGACACTCCATGTATATCTGGCGTAAATGATGGACCCGAAAGCACCACCTCAATGTAGGTTATACATCAAATACATGGATTGTTTGGGTAACTTGTATAGAACCAAGCCACATCAATGGATTATCATTTATTTATCGGCGTGGCGAACGACAGGTCCAGAAGGTCAATCTTGACTGATTGAGGTGTTCTACCTTGTTCTACCACCGTCCGGTGGGTGCGTTAAAATTCCTCAACCGTCTACAATTACTATCCCATTGAAGTGGAAACAGTGCATGGCCTTCGGCTTGGTGCCTAGCCTTTGGTGGGGCTGACCAGCTGCATGCGCAGCGCTGGAGGCTCCTGTTGAAGAGATTGCGGCCGAGCTTTCAGGAGTACCAGGAGGACTGTTTGACTTCAAGTTCCAGCGATGGGGGAGATGGGACAAAGGGAAACGACTTTGCTATGCTTTGCTTGAAATGGAGATTGGCAGGTTATGAAGACCATGAAGACGGCCCTTTTGACCGAAAATTGGGTTCCAGAGTCATGACCCACTTGAGAATGGAAACACCAACAAGGAAATTGAGGCATGACAGAGCCTTGAGCTCCGACATGTTCAGGGTCTTTTGTTTGGGAGGCACCAATTCTGGAGAGTAGTGACTTTTATTAACTGACTGGTGCGACTCGTAGGGAATAAGGGAATGAGCCCCCAATAGAGATTCTATTGGACCCATTTCCTCATTCCCTGCGAGTCGCACCAGTCAGGCATAGGCAGGCCATGGGCCTACCATGCCCCTTTCGACGAGAAGAAGCCAATACGCAGGAGTGTTCCCAACCACGGCAGCACTGGAGATGATCCACTAACACACGTCCGAGAAAGCTCCGTTCGCAGCGTCCGAGAAAGCTCCGTTCGTAGTCTACGGCCAGGTTCGGGGCCGAGGAACGTCGCGTCCGAGAAGAAAGCTCCGGACTCGAGTCGCGAGGCCCGAAATGCTCCGCTCCGTTCGTAGCTTAGAGGAACCATGTCGGGGTGTTTTCACCTCGACGCACTCTGCGGTCGATCGAATGGGTCCTCAGGAGTACGCGCCGATCAGATCGGGTGATGGAATGGATTGTCCTATGCGGTCAGATGTGCCCGAGAGGTCATGACCTTGGCTGATCTCCCCCGGTTTGTGTCCCAACATCGTTTTTGTTGAAAAAACCGGACAAGTGAACCCAAGATTCTCGAATGGAACTCCTCAAAAGTGGGTGTTAGAAAGCTTCATGTTCAGTTTGACAACCCAGAAGTCGTCCAACGCCAATGGCAGTGGGTTTTCAAGCCTGGAGCAAACCCTGACGGGTTGACCGATCGGTTGACCGGTCGTTTGTTCGGTCAACCGGTCGGTCTGGAGGACGAGATTGAGGAGAGAGGAGAGGAGTCCGCAGAGGCCGCCTTGTTTGAGCCGCGTTTGAAGCGGGCGAAAGGACACGTCTTGGGGGTGTGGGTCAGCTAGCACTGTCAAGCAATCAGCCTTACTTTGTTTATTGCTATATTATATTTGTATTTGTTTAAATAGGCTGGTTGGGAAGCCGATATTGCCCACGGATGATAAGGAAGCCAAGAATATCAGAGCTCCGCATGGATTTGGAACAGAGACAAACAACTCACTGGTTCAAGAATCGACCATGTCGCTTTATAGAATAATATGTTCAAGGCTGGTATCAACAAACAGGACAACTGTGTGTTCGAGAGAAGAACTTTGTTGCCTCTCCTGCTTCAGGCAGCTTCAGAGGATGCCGAGGACATGGGGAGTTCTTGAGACGGAGCAGAGAACCTCTGGAAGACGAGTGTGTGACACATTCAGCTCTCAATGGTTCATGCATGTTCATGCTAAATCCTTTCGTGGGCCTTCTGTGCTGTAAGCTGTAAGCTGTAACATGTAGCCTGTAGCCTGGAGTTTCGTGACCATGACGGAGATGGTTGTTTCTTTTCTGTTCGACCCTATGCGCCTCTTCGTCTTCTCCCCGCCCGCATCCCGGCCCAGGACGATCCTGGCCGATCCACGCCGTCCACCCCGGTCTCGCGATCCCGGGAGGCGGGTCCGAAGTCTGCGATGAAGCCGAGGACGCCGAGGACGGCGTTTGGGGGGTGAAGTACCCCTCCCTCCTGAGATATTACATGTATTATACATGTATTACACGGTATGTTTAAACAATTACCCCTCCTTACCCACTTAAATGGATTTCAGACGGGACGATTAGCAGTGAAGAGGTAGGAGCAGGGAAGAGGTAGGAATTCTACATGATTTTGATCAACATCATTTTGCATAACAGTCTGTATATGTCAGTATGTAAAAAATGGTTTCACTCAGATAAAAGTATTTGATAAACCTTGTATGGTAGGAGCAAACACCACTGCCGCAAGGCGTGCCAAAGCCAGAGATGCTCCACACTGCACGCAGTCAAGCTGACTGGACAACGACGCTCAGTTGTCTTGCAAAGAACACTGGAGCCACAGAACGTCGTTGGTTGAGAGCTTTCTACGGCGCTCCGGACATCCAAGAGGCAGCGGATTCAGTGATTTTGGAAGCTGATGGCGATCCTTGGCACTGTGAAAGACAGTGAGAACGGCGAGATGGAGCTCCTCAAGACGCACTTCATTGTTGACTAGTTGTTGACTTGTTGATTTTGACCGGCTGTGCCATTCAAAAGACAGACTAGTGGTTAAACTTCGACAGACTCAGTTCATGCATCCCTTAATAATTTTCTAAGCCCCCCTTCTAGTCAACCCACTAAAGGCAAGATAAGCAGAATACACTAACTGCATAAGGCTGATATTTCGAAAATTATTCTTTACAAAAAACATCAAAGCGAACAAAGCAGATCTATTTCCAACTATATTTCAAGAGCGGGTTTGTATTAAAAAGTAATAGTACTATTCTCCCAGAGGAGCCTTGTGGCCAACTTGCTCCCAACTATACCACCGAAACCTACCTCTTCCCTGCTCCTACCTCTTCCCTGCTAGTTGGCTGCCCAAAGGATTTAAGCCAAACGTTCTTGTTTTTCAAGGACAGCGACGGGCGGACATGGTAACGAACGACCATCGAAGGACCATCGGGAAAAAAGAAGCGGTCGCAGCGGACGAGTTTCTTTCCCAAGGCTTCGTTCAACTTGGACAACAGACTCACGTGGCACCAGGGCTTTAAGGTGAAGCTACCAGGAGTCACAAAGGGGTGGTTTTTAGTCCCTAAGTGAGTGGATAATGGGCACCATTTTGCGACTCCTGGTATTTGCTATTAAGGGACATAATGTTCCTTACCCGCCACAGATTTCACCGGTGGTTCTTCTTTTTTCCGCGCGCAGCCATCTCTGCTAAGTTAGGATCCCCCGCGTTTGCTGCGCAGCCGTCTCTGCTAAGTTTGTAGCAACCCCTCTGTGGCAACGCAGCTCGCACATCCTCGGCCCAGCATGGTCGCTTTCTTTGTGCCTTTCGTGTCCCTCCTGCTGCTCAGCTGAGATGAAGGACGAGGGAATGGCTGAATTAAGATGATATCTTCTTTTGGCGCCGTATGCCCCAAAAAGTGGACCGTCGTCCATGAAGGGTGACACTTTGACTCCAATGCAGTCAAGGGTGCCTTCCCAGGTCATTCCCCTTTGCCAGTTTGTTTTCACATGGGAGAATACGCACCGCTCGGGGGCCGGAAAATTTGAGAAGCAACGCTCTCAGGCTGCTGCTTTCGCCGGCGCGTGCGGACCAAACCGACCCCTCGCCAATGGTGATCCGCTTGCAGCGCGTCCCGGGCAATGGCACCCACTTCTATGTGGGGAGGTGCCTGGCTGCGGGGCGTGGGGTGGGCAGAATTCATTTGGAGAGAGGGGGAAGGTTTTTGCGCACACACGAACATGTTTTACAACATGTGTGAAAACACTCCACTCTTCAAAGGGAACGCACTGTTTCAGGGCATCGGAATCTGGGTCGCACCAAAGGCGTTGGTTGTTGGTCTTGATTTGGAGGTTGGCTTATAGCAGAGTGGCTGTAAGAGGTGAAGTCACCACACTCCTCCCCAATCGTCGTTGGAGATACCCAATGATACACTTATACTTCAATCATATTCAATATAAAAAATAATTCATGCATATAAGTTTTTTTGAAATATTAATTGAATTATTTTTGATATCATATTCAAAAATCATTCAACATTTTTCAATAAATACCAGCAGTGTGCCTCTTCGCAGGGCTGCCCATGATCCACTCACTTGGGGTTAAGCTCCACCCGTTTGGAACTGCTGGTATCCATCGATCTATGTATATGATTATCTATGTATCCATCGATCCACCTATCTATCCATCGATCTAAGTACCTATCTATCCATCGCTCTATGTATGCAGCGATCTATCATCCGGGTGTCAGTAACCACTATGAAACCCTAGGCTAGGGGGGTTCTGGTATGGCACAAAACGTTTTGCGAGGTCCCTTGAGGCGGTCTGAGGCTGATTGTATAAAGAAATGGGTGCTTGATATGTAGTGTCATTGCTCTTTGATCACGTCCGTGGATGGCTCTTGTTACACTTGTTCATGCCATGTATTGAGTTGGTATGTGGCCGTGATTTACGATGAGATACGCTGAGACATAAGATGAAAGCACAAGAGATTAAAATAGAGCAGTCTTTGAGCATGACTTTGTGTGCACCTTGCAGAAGTGATTGGATTTTTGAAGAGACATCAGAAAAGGAGCTCTTTGAGCATGCATTGAGTATCATTGGGTCAAGTTTTTGAGGGCTGGCCTGGTGATGTAGGCTTTCAGTTTTAGTGGGGTCACACCAAAATATGTCCCTTTGCCAGTGGCTACCACCATTTCACAGCTATAGAACCACGGGGATGATCCATCCATCCATCTATCCATCCATCCATCCATCCATCCATCCATCCATCCATCCATCCATC